TCAGTAGCTTTTGAGTGGCTGTCATAAATATATCTATCACAGTTTTGCCAATTCAGCTTTTTACAGGTGTACAACTTATAGACAGCAGTTCCATTAATCGGCTATGCACTACTCTAAATGCAAGTTTGCTATAAACCAGACCTCAGTAGCAGAAACCCCTCATTCCTGCCCCTAGTAACCACAAAGAAATTTGGCTGCTATACATTTGCCTGTTCTTTTTATATGGAACTCGTATAGTACTTGTCCCTCTGTTATTGCCTTATTTCACTCAGCATGTCTTCAAGCTCCACCCATATTATTGTAGCAGGTATCAAGATTCATCTTTTATTGCTGACTACATAGTATTCCACTGTATACACGTAGCACGTCTTATCCATTCATCCGTTGATGGTCATTTAGCTCGTTTCCACCTTTTGGCTATTGTGAACAGTGCTGCAATGAACATTAGTGTCCAAGTGTCTGTTTGAGTCTCTGCTTTCAAGTCTTTTGGGTACATACCCAAGAATGGAATTGCTGGCTCATATGGTAGTTCTATTTTTAGTTTTCTGAGGAACTGCCACACTATTTTCCACAATGGCTGTCCATTTTACATTCCTACCAGCAATGGCTAAGTTTCAGTTTTCCCACATCCTTGCTAACATTTATTTTTTTGCTGGAGTTGTTTATCTTAGCCAGCCTAGAGGGAATGGAATGGTATGTCATTGTGGTTTTATTTGCATCTCTCTGATGGCTAATGATGTTGCATATCTTGTCATGTGTTCGGACATCCAGACATTCATCTGAATGTCTTCTTTGGTGAAATGTCTATTGAAGTCCTTTGTCCATTTTATGACTGGGTTGCCTTTTTGTTAAGAGCATTTGTAGTTTTTGAAAGCTCTGGGTGGTTCTAACGCACAGCCTGAAAACCAGAGACCTGGACAAATACGCACAGAAGCATAAAGACAGCAAATGGCAAACTTAGCTCCCCAGAGGCAAAGCCTGGCAGCCGTGATCCTGGAACTCTCCAGGTCAGAGACTGCCACCCAAGTGGGGGATCTGGGAACCAGGTGATGGGAGATCCTACCTTGGAGACCTCCCTCATCTGAGTAGTTGCCCAGAGCGTTGGCTGTCTCTGGGCATGACCAAGACTGGGCCTCAGAGACACCAGGAACACAGGAGGTCTCCCCTCAGGCAGGTGCCAGGAGGACACGTGGCCCAAGAGATGAAGACAGACCTGGAGACTGAAGACCCCAAGATGGATCAAGAACAGTCAGGGAACGGTAATGCCAAAGCCTCAGACCCATCTCCCCACTCCCAGCATCTCCTCAGCATGACCATCTCGGCCCTGAGCAAGGGCTATTTACTCTTAGTAGCTGTGTCTGAACAATGACGCCTCATGAGCAGGAAGCAGGCTTCTCCTGGGGTCCAAAACCATATTCTAGGGAGAAGCCTGGGAATTCTACCCTATTCTAGGGCTCCAGGAACTAATGAGCATTGAATTCCTGTATGTCAGGAGTACACTGTGTACAGCCACAGAGTCCAGGACAAGACTCTGCTTAATGCTGGAGGGACTCCCAGAGATAAGCAAGCAGAGACACCATGTAAGGGGCTATCCAACTCCAGAGCCTTTTAATCGCAACTCCAGAGGCTGGATCAGGCCAGGTGCCTGGACCCGAGGCCACCCTCCATCTCTTGGGCCCCATGACCAGGCCTTGGCTTTGCTTCTCACTCCCGGGTTGGTCTTCACATCCTGGTGGCTGGTTCCATCCCTTCATTGGTCCTTGATGGTGACTCCTTCCATGCAGCCTCCTCCCATGTTATGAATCGTTCACTGTCACCACTCTGAGGGAGGCTCCCCACACAGCTCATCTGTCACAGGTCCCCTCCCAGGGGACATCAACAGTCTGGACTGGGACCCTTACCCTCTGCCTCAACCCCCATCACCACTGCCAGTAAAGCCTCAGTCAGTGACTCCACCTCTTCACCCGCTGCCTCCACAAGCCCCACCAGGGCCAGGGCCCGCTTCCGTGGGCACTGCCCAGGCCCCAGGGTCCAGCGGGCACAGCGGGAAGCCAGCCGGGGCCGGCCCAGGCGGAACACCTCACTCACTGACTCTGGGCCGCCCTGGGGCCCCAGGTGGATGCGGCCCACAGCCTCTTCCAGCTCCTCCTCCAGCCTGGGCAGCAGGAAACGGCCAGCAGCCTCTAGGGCCTCCTCAGCCTCTGAGCCAAGCAAGGGCTGGCCTGGCGGTGGCACAGGCCTCAGGGCAGCCCCACAGCCCTGGCAGCCATGCAAGTGATGCAGGACAGGCCAGGCTGCACTGGGGGACAGGTTTCGAAGTGGCACCAGGTCCATCTGGGCTTCGGCAAAGCTGCCAGCTAGCAGGGCCCGGAAGAACGGGGAGGCGGCGGCTGAGGGAGCCCGCTGGGCAGGGAGCCGTAGGCCCGAATCCAGTAGGAAGTGCAAGTCAGGGGCGAGGACAGGGGCTGGGCCCAGCAGAGGTTCGTAGAGGCAGGGGGAGGGCAGGTCTAGGCCCAAGGGGATTGCCAGTGGGAGGGCTGGGCTCACAGTGGGAGACACCAGGCCTTGGAGGCAGGAAAGGGAGTCGGCGGCAAAGAGGAGGAAGAGTGGGTGTGGGGCCGGCCGAGTCAGCGCTGTGAGGAGGAGACGGAGGCCACCCTGGTCCAGAAGCAGCCGGCGCCACAGAGCGGGCTTCCTACAGGGAGAAGAGCCTTTCAGGACTGGAAACGGGGTGGGACTGGGGCCTGGTGATGGGCTACCCGGCCCCTCGGGAGGCAAACCCGTCTCCTCACCGGCAGATGAAGGGCAGGGTCAGTGCGCAGGCCACGCGGTCCTCAGGGCTCCCAGAGAGCAGCAGGTGGGTGAGGGCGCCCACGCCGAAGGGAGACTCGGCCTGCACGGTCAGGTTCTGCAGCAGCATTTCACCTGCAGGGTGGGCAGAGCGGGCCAGGGTGGGTGCCGGGGCCGGGGCCAGGGCAGGGCTGGGCAGGACGGGCGGGCGGGCGGAGCGGGCCAGGGTGGGTGCCGGGCCAGGGCAGGGCTGGGCAGGACGGGCGGGCGGGCAGAGTGGGCCAGGGTGGGTGCCAGGCCAGGGCAGGGCTGGGTCGGATGGGCGAGATAGGACTCCAGCCCCTTGAAAGAAAGGAGGGCAACATTTCAGGCAAACAATTAGGGCACAGAAGAGAGAGCTCTGGAGGTTCTGGAGGGGTGGTTAGGGTGCCGGAATTGGAGGTCAAGGCCAAGAGCAGAACGTGGGGTGGTCAGGGGACAGGTCTGGGCCGAGGCCTGAAATGGTCTGCGGTTGGGGCAGAGGTGACAGGCAAGTCCCTGGCAGCGCTGGGAGGGGACTAGTGGGGCAGCACAGTGCCCGTGCCTGAGTTCACAAGTCACAATGTGCCTGTGGAAAGGGTAGTCAGGATACGAGTGGATAAAGCAATGCACAAAGGCAGGGTTCCAGTGACGGGGTCCAAGCCTGCGGTGAGGGCTTCGGACCACAAGGCTGGGGCAGAGGATGGGGTAGGACTCTCCATCCTGGGCCATGGAGCAGGAGGAGTACGCAGCCTTCCCCCACCCGCAGTGGCCGGCGCTGTTGGATGGTGGGCCAGGGAAGGCGGTTCAGAGTGTCTGTGAATGGCAAGGCCAGGCTGCGGGTGCATGGGGCCTCCCGTGTGGGGGAGCTAGAGCAAGGACATACCCAGTTCCTGGTGCTGGCTGTTGCGGGCAGGCCGGGCACGCGGCGTGGGCCAGTCGTCAGGAGCAATGCCGAGCACCAGCCAGGTGCGCAGCAGCGCCGCACCGTAGCTCCGCACGAAGGCCTCGAGGCAAGCGGGGTTGCAGGTGAGGCGCGCCAGGATGCGCAGCGCGCGGGGGTTCGGCGGGCCGGGTGCACCCGTCACGTAGGCCAGCAGGCCGTGCAGCGCCGGGCCTGTCACGAGTGCCGCGCTCGGGTCGGGAGCCTGGGAGAAGCGGGACAGCAGCAGCAGTGCCGGCCCCTCGCGACCCCAAGGCTCCTCTGGGGTGGCGGCAGGGCTGCGTCGAGGGGTGCCCAGGGTGCGTGGTGTCTGCAGCGAGGTCGGGCCTGGGACAGGGCTGGATGGCTCAGAGGGCTCTGGTGGCAGGCAGTGCTCCGGGGACCAGTCGGGAGAGATGTCTCCAGGGCCGGCAGCATAGCCTTCAGAAATGAGCCACAACCTGCAGCCGGGGAGGAATGGGAGGAAAGAGGAGACTGGGTCTGGGGCCCTCCAGAAGGAGGTGAAGCCAAGGACTAAGAGGTGGGCCCAGGGGGGGGGGGTCGGGGAGGAAGAGAGGTGGGAAAACGAAACCCCAATGACATCACTACGTGCCAAGCCCTGCTCTAGGCGCTGGGGAGAACACCGTCTGGAGTGTACAAGGAGTCACGCCCCAGTGAAGGGAAAGAGACAACAGACTAAGTCAGTAGATCATATAATCAGCTGGATGGCGTACAGCGCTGTGGAGAAAAACAAAGAGGAATAGAAACAACTAGCGGAGGGGAACGCTGAGGTTTTGAAGAGGGTGGTGGTGACAGCTCCCAGTGAGAAGGATCAAGGCAATATGGGGGCTGAGGGAACAGCAAGTAAAGAGGTCTGAGGGGGCTGTCAACCTGCCACGTTCAAAGTCACCAGAGGAACAGAAATGCGTGTGGGTGAATATTTACATCAAATAGACACACTCCTTAGAACGATCAATCGTGGGAGAACAGAAGGGCAGTGTTTGCACATGGAGGTAGCTCAGGGGGCACACACGGGAAAAAAGGACACAGGGAAGAGGTAACTACGGGGAGGAAATGGGAAGTGACCAGTGACATTGTGGGGAATGGCAGTCAATGTCATGAAACAAAATGTGTGCACTGCTGGATGGAAAATGAATTTGCTCTGTAAACTTTCACCCAAATCACAATTAAAAAAAAAAAAAAAGTAGCTGAAGACCTGTGTTGGGCCACTGGGGACAGCAGTAGGAGATGGCATCTGAGGGTTTACAGAAGGGTGACGTTTACTGAGCACTGCTTAGTGATAGGCAAGGTGCAAAGTACCCTCACTGCATCCTTACAACAGCCCTATGGGATAGGTATGTTATTAGCCTCCATTTTGCAGGTGAGGAAGTGGGGGCTCAGAGAAGTCAGTTAACTTTCCCACAATGCTGCAGCTCGTAGGTGGTGGCGCCTGAATCCGAACTTCGATTCTAGAGCCCACCATTTTAACCAGTGAATCTGTCCGGGGCCCGATGTTCAGAGGGCCTGGGGTCGGGCCAAGAACAAAAAGAATCCAGGGGGAGGGGATGTGTTTAATGGGGACGGGAAAGCCGTCATGTCAGGGGGAACACGGAATCAGGAGTTGAGTTAAGAGTCATAAACCGTCACGGAAAACCCAATGAATTCTATGAAAAGACGACACTGTCGGTAACCACCTTCCTAGGCGGAACTGGGAGCAGTCACCCCCCACAGCACCGTCACCCTCCCAAGCCCTAGGCTCACCTGAGGCTTCGGAAGCTCCCGGCCTCGGCCCGCTCGGGGGTCCGTTCCTCAGGGAAGTCCCAGGAAGCGGCTTCTCTGCTCTCTTCCTCCTCCTCGCCAGCCTCATCACAGAGCTGGCCGGCCAGGAGGGGCACCAGCCCCAGCGCCTGCAGGCGGCCCAGGGCCCCGGTGTCGTAGAGGAAGCCCACGAGCGCGGCCACCACGCGAGGGTGCCAGGCCCTGGCGTGAGAGTCGCGAAGCAGGCCCATGAGCAGCTCCAGACCACCAGCGTCCCGCAGCCGGGCGCGGTTGATGGCCTCCCTGCAGAGCAAGCAGACGGCCCGCACCAGCGGCTGCTGGGAGGCCGGGCTGGCCCCGCTGGGGTCCCGGCGCCTCCGGAGCTCTCCTAGCAGCACCTCCACGCCGCCGGCATTGCCCAGGGCGGGCCGAATCAGGCCCTGGGCACACAGGTTGGCGAGGGTCAGGATGGTCGCCTCCCGCACAGCCCGCTTAGGGTGCGAGGCGAGGCTGACGAGGGGACCCAGCCCCCCGCCCAGACTCAGCTGCTCAGCACAGGCCCGGGAGCAGCCTCGGCTCAGTTCCAGGAGGGCGCGGACCAGGGCTGAAGTCAGGGCCGGGTCTGGGGTGGCGGCCAGCAGCTCGGCCAGCGGGCGCACTGCTCCCTGCTGCGCCAGGGCCAAGCGGTGCTGGGGGGAGTCTGCAAGGTTGCGGAGGGCACGTACCACACTCTGGAGGCACTGTGAGTCCTGGCAGGCCGCCAGGCTCTCCAGGAGCAGGGGGACAGCACCTGGAGGGGCCAGGGGAAGTCAGAGGGTGAGCGCGGCCGGGACACGCGAGCCCCTCTCTCGCCCCAGGTCTGAGCCTAAGCCCCGCCTCCCAGGCTTCTCACCAGCAGAGTGGATGTCCCTACAGCTCTCAGGCTCCATGGCTAAGTTCCCCAGAGCACGGGCTGTTCGGTTCTGGATGCTGTCTGTCTTCACACACTGAAGAATGGTCACTGCAAGGAGAGCGTGGCCGGCTGTTTTTTTCTCAGTCACCTCAAGAATGTGGCCTGAGGGGCAGGGAAGGCCTCCAGAGGGCACCAACACTTGGGCTGGGTCTGTTGTTGTTGTTGTTGTGTGCCGTCGAGTCGGACCCAACTCATAGCGACCCCTCCTTGAGTTTCCGAGGCGGTATCATTACAGAAGTAGATTGCCCAACCTTCCTTCCGAGGAGTGGCTG